GTAAGGTGCTGATTTCCATGGGACAACTTTCTCCTAGCTGAAGCAAACACACGTGACTGGAAATATAGATAGAACCTGAAAGTATTTTTTTTTAAGAACTTACTTTATGTTCCCATTTCAGAGCCAGCAATCAGACTACCATTTATCTTATAACAGCTTTGTCAAGATAGAATTCACATACCACATAATTAACCCATGTAGAGAGTATATAATTCCGTGGCTTTTAGTGTATTCGCAGAATTGTGCAACTATCACCACTTCCAATTCGACAACCATTTAGAAGAGATTCTTATTTACTGTCTAAACTACAGATAGATAATTTACTACTTTTTCCATTTCTGAAATGAACTGAGAGGCCAGCTGTCTCCTCACACGGAGCCCACTCCTAACAATTTACATACAAATAACAAGGAGATAAGTGACCATTTATTCAGTCATTTAAAAAGTCATAGGGACTTCCACAGAAGGATGGTCCTGGGGCTACTGACCTCAAAGGGAAGGTATTACCCTTTTGAAACAGAACAGATCCTCCCTGAATTGCCCCCATGTGGATGAGTTCCCATCATTAGCCTCATTAACTGTAAACATGTAGAAATGCCCTATGAGCGCACGGCCCCAGGGTTCTGAATAATAGATTAGGGTTAAATTCACAAAGAGGAGCCAAGCAGACATCTTTCCAAGGAGGTCCTTTAGAGATGAACTGAGACGCTTTCACAGCTCACAAAGTTCGCGGGTTGGGACTGATGTGATACAAAAAACCATCCACATCTTTGGTTCTCATTTCTTTGTTCTTCATGAAGATGCTAGACCAGCTGTGTTTATGGAACATGCAGTCTCAGTCCGTCCATCACCAGTGTTCATGGAAAAGGAGCCGCAGACGCCACTGCAGAGCTGCGGTCACACGCAACGGGGCAGGGTGCTGATGCTCCAAAGTCACATGTGCGACGTGGTTCCATCCCCTATGGCAAAAACTGAAGAACCTCCCTCACGTCAGAGCAAACAGAGAAGGCAAGACCTTCCTGAGAGAGTCAGTGACTCCTTGTGGGCAAATCAAAGCGGGATCTGTCTCCTCCTGCCCTTCTTCACTCCTGCCACGGGCGCTGTCCATTTCTCCACGTGGAGCGAATACATGCGAGTCCGGTGTTCACAGAGCTTCTACTCCAAACCAAACATTCATGGGCATTACTTCAGCTCATCTTCACAGCAACCCTGGGAGAGTGTCATCACCATCTCACTGTGGCCCAGAGGAACTAAGTGACTGGCTTACAGTCCCAAAGCCACGGCTGTGAGAAGGATCTTTGATTTTAAGTTCTGGCCCTTTCCACAGTAGTACTCCTCTTCCCTGATTATGCTCTCCAGGACCTTCCTGATGAGAAACTCTTCACTGCCAGTCACTCCAGAAGCCAAGGTTTAGGTGCCGGAAGGGGTCCCTCTGACCTACGACCTCAGGGCCAAACCCTTTGTCCTTTGATGTCACTACTATGTCAATACAGTACTTGGACTATTTAATGAAATATTAGGTAAAAATTCTCCAGCTATGAACTGGGAGACAACTCACATGGGACAAGGGCACTAGGAGCGGAAAACGAATGCTTGGTTGACGACGTTACCTGCTTCTATTCAGTGCTGCCCGGGCTCCTGAACTCCGTCCTTGTTGGCCTACCTCTGGAGAGCTACAGTTCTCTGTGTATCATTCAAGAATAAATTTAAACCAAAAGAAAATTTAAATTTAAACCAAAAGAAATTTAAAATTTAAACCAAAAGAAACTTTTAATTATCTACCACAAACCAGGCTGTACCCTTGAGAAAAACGTAAGTTATTTCACACATGGTTTCTGCCCGCATCCCAGGAGCTCGCAGGAAGCTGCATGAGGAGCGAGTAAAGGTGCGTGTGACAGCCGAAAGGACCAAGAACGTGGTGATGGGGAGACAGCACTGTTAGCGGGAGGAGTGACAGCAAATTCCAGTGACAGTGAACAGGGCAAAGAAGAGCAGCTCAGAGGGCAGAGGACAGTGAGAGGCACTGCCGGTGACAGGAGCAACAGGAGGACCAAGACCTGCCTGCATTCACCTGAAAAATATTCACTCAACACCCTTCCCTAATTTCTTGGTTCCTGCATGAAACTCCTTCCACTAGACAATCATTCCCCCAATAGGTGTGGCTTAAAGAAAGAAGTCTGTGGTCAGAGAAGCCCGAGAATACAGCCACCACATCCCCCTCTGGAGGCCTAGTGCACGGAAGCATGCTAAAGGCTCCAGGATGTCCTAGAGTACAGAGACCCTTTCTATAGCATGTAGCACAGAACTGCACAGGTTTCCCTGACCACAGAAAGCTTTTTCCATAACTGCCACCTATGTCCAACCTCAGAAACTACTGCTCAGGGTATGTACTTTCAAGGGAAACACTGCCTGACACAGGCCCCTCCCGCGAGCCAGGGCTTCTCGTGCCGGGCAGGGAGATGTGGGGTCGGTGACAGAAATCCACGTGGGAGCTACCTCTCACTGGATGGAGGGGCAGTGGCCAGGAAGGAAAGAAGCTCGTTCACAGGGACCATGGCAAAGGATTAGGAGGAACCAATCAGTGCTTCTAGCTAAACAGAAAGACTAACCGTACTGCAGATGACATAAGGTAACAAACCAGTGACATGTGGGAGGTACTGACAAGTGCACAGGACACAGGATAAATCCACCCCAAGAACCCATGAGCAAGCAGCCAGTATTTTTTCTGTTGCGTAAAAACTCTTACTCAAAAGGCCTTATATGTCAGATCAGAGTGTACGTAATGCTTGAAGTGGACCTCAGTTTTCAGTCTTTCAGGCTCGACGATGGCTCCTAACGACTCACTGTTACCCCACGCTTGCCATCTACAAGGCACTCACCCAAGCCCGCTCTTACCTGACCCGAGGAGCTAGAAGCAGAGGGGCCAGACTGTGCACAACTTCCCCAGAGTGGCAAAGCCTGGAGTGGAGACCGTGCTATCTACCTCTCCATGCTCCCTCCACTCCAACCGTGGCGGCTGTCCTCATCTCAGATGTCCTCACATGAAAATATCCCAGAAATTATACTTCAGGATCCAGATTGTCCTTACCCTCCTGGAAGGGGCACAAAGATCCTCCCCCCCACCCCAGAATTCTTTTTGGCAGACACAGTTAAATTAATAGATCACAAGATTTTTCAGAAAACTTTCAAAGACTATTAAAAATTTATACATGACAACAGAATACGCTTAATAGTTTTTATCTATCCAGATTTTCAAAATAAAGATAAATATATTTACATCTATAACTATAGCTATATACATGTAACTAGAACAAGAAATGTTCTTTGGGATAAGAGAAAACCTTCTTAGGTTAATTTAACATCAAATCGCTGTCACTAAACTTGGAAGTTATGTGCTATGGATAGAAACACACACACAGATAATCTAACATGGCAGGCAAACACAACACATCAATTTATTTTTGGATTTGAGCTCTATTTCTCTACTTAAGTACAGCTACGTTTGAAGCCCGGAGGAAATAATTTCTCTCTAAATAATGAAGCTGTATTTGGAAAACCACGTTTTCAATATCTCCTGCTACAACGGTTCCTGCCCACACTCAGGGACAGCCTGTGGGCCCGAGAGCCGAGAGCTCCTTTTCCTGCCGGCTACAAAACATCGCCCCAAGTGAAGAGGCGGTCTTGAAAGAGCACAGGCAGTAAGGAAATCTCAGTGACATTAGCAGTCCACGTGTGCCAGAGGACATGGGGAAGGACCGCAGCTAGTGCCCTACATCACAGGTTCTCAACCAGAGGGGATTTTACCCTCCCGGAGACACTGGCCAGCGTCTGGAGGAATTCTGGGTCACCGTAACGGAAGGAGGGGGTGCTCCTGGCATCTGGTAGGTGGAGGCCAGAGATGCTGCTCAATGTTCCACGGTGCACAGGCGGCCTCTCACCACAATTACTTGGCCCAAAATGTCCCTCGTGCTGAGGCTAAAAAACCCTGCACTAAATTAATAAGGCACACAACAAAAATGATAGACGAGTGCTGTTAATAAACCTGAGTGTGAAAATCACACAGAGTAATTGGCCGACAGGGACTACGGATTGTGCTGGAGGGAAATGACTTGGGTGCCCATGTTATGATCCCGTTGAACTTAAATACCAGCATAGCTGACTTTCAAAGCTGTGAATGATGTGGATAAACAGGAACATACTGGATTAAAGCCATAACAATAGGCCATCATCCAGACCAACATATCATTTGGTTATCTGAGAGCACAACACAGTGAAGGGGAACTGTTATGAGTGCCCCCTCTCTCTTTTTGTTCTTTCAAATGGAAACAGCAAATATTTCAACAATAAAAAACAAACAAGAGATACCAGTTGGGGGGGGGGCAGCTCATACACTGTGTGGTTTCATCACGCCCGTGGCCCGCCATGCTAATCCTGTGGCAGTTTATGATGACAGAGATGGGTATGTGCAGACAGCCACCCAGAGGTCTGGGCCCCAACAATGACATACTGTCATGTTCCTGGCAAGCCCACACTCTTTCAGTGAGCTATGCCACAAGATTCACCCACACCAACAAAATTTAAAATATTCGTGAGACACTGCATTTCAAGAGACATAGGAACACTTCAGAAAATGGTCTCTGAAATAAGATACGAACGAGGTCGCCAAGCAAGCTTCGAGAAGAATCCCCTTTACTATCACTTATCATTAGCTTTCAGAGATCACAAAAGACAGCATAGGTCTCAGAAAAAGAAAACAGCAGCTCGAGTGAGAAGCAAACTGATGCAGCGTGGAAAGAAAATGGAGGAGCATAATATGTCAAAAAAGCAAAGGTATTAAAAAATGCAAAATGCTGGTGACTTCATACTAAATTTTAAAATCACAAAAACCAAAGTGAAGGGCATTCCAAGTCGTCTGCCACAGACCCAAAGGCTGCTTATTATTTCACATGTTCTACTGCAAAATTAATATAAAATTTTAGAAGTAGAAAAAAAAAACTAACCTTAAGGTTATCAAAGGTTTTGACAGTCTGCGCCAAGTCACTGACACTCCCTGGTGATGCTGTCCCCTGTCCCCTAGGACCTGAGGACACCCGTGAGCCGTCAATGACCTCAAAGCCAGAAAGCAAGGCCTGTGAACAGCTGCAATGAGACGCCTTCGCTCTCTGACCCGCTATCAGGTATGTCTTCAAACCTATGGATAAAAATTACAGTCAGCACAGATGGAAACCACCGTTGGTTGAAATGCAGCTCGATCTTGCTCTCTACGCAGGACATGCTCCTGAAAAGTGGAGAGTAAAGCGAAAATATGAATGTCATATTTTACTACTGATTTCTAGGATCTTTTCAGAGACGCACAGATTTCAGGGAGAATATTTGCTTCCGAGACACACCACTTACTTATATCATGTTTTCTTTGAACCCTGGCTGCACATTTTACCTTGGGCGGCTGAAATGAGCATTAAAAACTTCCTCCATGCAAGGGTCACATGACACTTGGTGCCAGGAGCCAAGCAGACACTGATGGTTGACCCTAGACATTCTTGGGTTTATTCTGTTCCGTCGGTCTACATGTAAGGGTGATCTAGAATACGGACCACGTTACCCATGTCAGGAATGCAAAACTGTCTCAAAAAGTGAGACTGTAATTACACCAAAGGGAGTAATTAAAACCGCCCTTGATTCAGATGATCAAGTAACAGTTTTCTGTTGGATCTAAACATTCACAGCAAGAACGTGCGGCTTTTGTCAAGCTGTAGTCTACGATCATTTTATTCTCTCACAAAATCCTCATTCAAAAAAATGTAGGTGGGAGGGGCATCTGGGGGGCTCAGTCAGTTAAGCATCTGATTCGTGGTTTTGGCTCAGGTCATGATCTCAGGGTCCTGATACTGAGCCCCAAGTTGCGCTCTACACGCAGCTGCGAGTCTGCTTGTCCCTCTCCCTCTGCTCCCCCCACCACCACTCTCTCTCTCATAAGTAAAAATAAGATCTTTTTTTTTAAAAAGTTAGTTAAATGGACAATTAGCCAATATCTTTACAATTCTCATTAAAGGCTGAAATAACACACTAACATACACTACACTGTTAGGTGGCTCTAAGGCAGGGAGGTCCCTGCTCTGGGTCTTCAGAAGGACTATCTGCTGGGAAAATACTAAGAAGCAGCTTTTCCAGACAGAACTCAAGCAATTTCTGGAAAGGAAGCAAGTCTTACTTAAATTAATCCATTGGTAGTCCTTACTGTAATTTAACCAGACTGCAAATCTGTTGAGGGGAGTGGCAATGTAATTCGTTCAATAAACATTTATTTTAGGCCTGGGGTTGGCTCTACTTGGATAACAGACGCAAGAACAAAGCAAAGTCCCTGTCTTGGAGAGTTTAAGCTTCCCCAGAAGGTGGTAATGGAAGGGCATCACTGAAACATTTGAGGTGAGGGGTCTACACTCCTAAATCCACAAGGGTACTTCCACTCAGGACGCTGTAATAAATGCCCTAAAAGTAATTATTTCAAGAAGGATGAGGGGTGCCTGGCTGGCTTAGTTAGTGGAGCATGTGACTCTTGATTTCGGGATCATTAGTTCGAGCCCCAGGTTGGGGATAGAGATTACTTTAAAAAATTAATTACTTAAACAACCTAGGGATTACCTAATTATCCTTCATCATGTTATAGTTACGCCACCATTTCCTCATTCAATCTCTCCTCATCTCCCTTTCTTCTCGTAAAAATACTATACGGTATGTCTTTTCAAGACACCTAGAGAGATCCTAGAGCACAGTGAAATCGTAGGTGGGACTCAAAAGACTTAGATAAGTAACTTTGGATGCTAACTCACCCCAAATACTCACTCTTAACTAAGGTCCAGAACTTCCATATGGTTTTTTCTCCAACAAAAATACACAGTGTACAGGGTCAATCACAGTCACAACTACGTCCATGTATCAGCTGGAAATGGAACATGAACTGGAATACGACATGGGAGTAAGAGCACCTTTGTAGGAATCCCTCAGACTCTGTCACAGAAGATGCTGAACTCAGTTGCCATTTTGCCTTGCCTTGCCATTTTGCCTTGGGAGCATTGAAGAAGGCAAACTCTGTGGACTAACCAGAGAAAAGTCCTACGTCTGACCTGTCCTGGAGTCTCCACGCCAGTAGGCTTATTTCCGACATCGTCAAAGGCCCGTTCCCTGGAGCTGCGGGAATGGGGACCGCCTGTGAGTCTCCCGGCAGAGGGCGGGCAAGGCCCCGGCTGGCAGGCCAAGCTGCTGCGGAGGGCCGCCCCGGGGAACGGAAGGAGGAGGGAGGACGGTAGTGCATGAGGAGCCACTGTTGCAGGGAGAGGTTTCCATTCTGACTGTAGCTGGCCCTGACCCCAGAACAGCGTTCCCTGCAAGATGCCCGTGGCTCCCCTGCCTGAGGCTGCTGCTCCCTGTGGGCAAGGACTCCCCGTGGAAGGCAAAGGCAGGGCAGCCAGAGAGGCCCTGGTCTCGGAAGTCCTCGGGCAGGTTACTGCTTTTGCCCACGCCATGCAGCTCCACACGGGCCAGAGCAAGTGAAAGAGGCCTTTCCTGAGGCATGACAACCAAGGCAGAGAAGAGGCTGGGCCAGCACACCAGAAGAGCTAGGGGCTGAGCCCAATAGATGCACGCATGGGGCTGAAGTTCATCCTTCCAAGCAGGGGCGTGCCCTCCAGCAGGGATGCATGTGACAGTGGCCTAGCTCTGCGCTCACAGACTCTGACACTGCCTTGGGGTGTACATTCTGAGGCCTGCTGCTGCTCGTCTCAACTGTGGCAACCGCTCATTCATCACTTAGCAAGTGCCTCCCGTCTGTTGACCACACACTGTGATAGGTGTGCGGGGGACAGGTGTGAGCATGTCACCTGTATGGGGGGTGTCACCTGAGGAGGGATCTAGAGGGCGGGCAGGTGTGAATATAAAATCTAAGGACCCTGGGAAGCACAGGAGGGTGGCCCTTATGGACCTGGGGGCTAGGGAAGCCTCCTGGACACAGTGCCCTCCAAGGTGAGGACTGAGAGAGGGAGCGAAGTCAGCCCAGTGAAAGCCTACAGGGCCAGGGGTGGGAGCAGCTGCTGTTGGGCCATGGGTGCTGCTCTAACAGTTCATGAAGAGGCTCCACAGAAAAGGAGCCTCTGGCAGGCACAGTCAAGGGATGGAAGTGAATTCAGTACAGCTGGAACAGGGAATGCATGTCGGGGAATGGTCAGAGACGGACAGGGGCCTGTGCAGGGCACCACGCAGACCAGCTCTGGAGTCTTCATGTTGGGAGCAATAGGGGTGCAGAGGGAGATGGTAAGGAACAGGCATGAGACTGAGGAAAGGCCAGAGAGCTGTGGAAATGCCAGTCACGGTAGGTGATAAGGGAGCTAAGGGACCTGGGAGTCAGGACATCATGGTGGGAACAGGAACCCACTCTCCCCTAAATGTAGTGGTGGAAGCAATGCCTCTACAAGGGGCTATGCAGACGTGGGTAAGGGCATGGATTCTGCAGAAGAGCCCTCAGATTCAGGCCCCACCACCTCCCCACTGGGTGATCCAGAGTAAGATACATTATTATAGGACCAGGCTAAACACAGGATGTGCCCCATGGGGCTGACGCAAAGACAAAATGAGTAACATGCGTGAAGTGTTTATGACAGTGCCAGGCACGGTGAAAACTCCAGAACGTGAGTTATTATTATCAATGTGGGTGTCTGACTTGCTTATCACGGGGAGTCTTCTTCATGTTCCACATACAAAAACATCTGTGAGACTGTTAAATCAACAATTGCTCCAAATGTGTTTCTCATGTGAATTGTTCTTTAGGGAGCCCCTGATGATCAACGTGGGCAGCTAGTGTTCCAGAAGTCAGACTTCTGTATGTGTCCACGGCAAGCAAAATCAGTGAACAAGTTAGGTATCCATGCTTCCACGCAGAAAGCTAAACCTAAGGTGAAATCTTTTGCCAAAACTGGAGTGGTACTGGCCAGGTAAAGTAAAGCAGCCTGGTGCGAAACTCCCTAGAAACCTATTGTGGCTGCATGACTGAATTCGGGCCTCATCAAAATCTCAAGTCAAAAGAGTTTGTAAGATACCCCTGGGGCTAATAATACATTATATGTTAATAAAAAATTAAAAATTAAAAGAAAAAAAAGAGTTTATAAGAGATAAAGATTTAATAAGTAACTACAACACACTTGGGGTCCAAGTTCATAAGAATGGCTCTCTTGGAGCAGACAGTCAAAGTAAGACAGCCAAATGATTTATCTTCTTAAGTATAAACAGAAGCTTAACAAGATTTCTTATATTCCTTCTGGGTAATTGATTTTCAACCTCACCAGCACTGATGACTTTTTTCATCAGCTTCATTCTACAGAGGCTACAGAAGGGGGACTCATTTGCTACCACACTCCCACCTGACGGAGGGGCTGGTCTGTGGTTGTGTGCACCAAGGAGACTGAGGTGGTTAACATGCTTAAGCAGATCACAGATCCTTTGAGGAGGAAAATGGTGGCTTGCACAAAACTGGTGCTTAGTTTCTGTGAACTAAGTGTACTTTCAATATATGCCAAAGTCCGTTTTTGGAAAAGACAGACTATTCCAGCCTTTTTCTTTATCGTGGTCTTTTGCTGCACGGTGCCTGCTTTGGAGTGAGACAGCCCCTACTACCCAGAGTCAAGGACCTGAATGTCAGCTCAGCAGAAAGAGGAGAATACTGAGAAAGGAAAAGATGCTTTGAGACGCGACCTGGGGAGTTAGCAGCATAACACAGCAAATGCCTAGAAGCCTGCATCACTAACGATTTGAAACAATAAACATATGAGAGGCAATCAGTTTGGCCTAGCTCATAAACATTCTAAAAAGTTATTCCACTTTGTATTTTTCTTCATTACTAGGTCTGCAATGGCCAAGAAGCATGAGAACTGTTTAAACTACAATGTAGTCAGTGGGGATGCCTGTGTGTCTCACCCAGTTAAGCGTCTGACCCTTGGTTTCAGCTCAGGTCGTGATCTCATGGGTCATGAGGTCGAGCCCTATGCCCAGCACAGAGTTTGCTTGAGATTCTCTGTCTCTCCCCCTCCCCCTGCTCAGGCCTTCTCTCTCACTCCCTCTCAGATGAATAAATAAAATCTTTAAAAATAAATAAAATAAAATGTAGTCAACCAATAAGGAAAATAAACACGAAAAGGTTCAGCT